CTGGTGGAACCGACCTTCGGATCTCTTCACCCAACACTTCTACTCGAAATGGAAGTAATCCCAACAATTAATATCTATGACTCAATTTATTGAGTCGAGTCGAGTATACAAGTCAATCTTGTAAATGAGTGTCTTTAGCTGTGCAAAGAGACCAGTCGTGCTTTTATTTTTATTTTCCTCGAATTCTTAGAGAAACTCGAAGAGGCCGCTTAGATTTTTTAAAGCAAGACCTTGGAATATCCTAATTTCTTCTGAGCAAGTCCGTAGTACTAGTAAGTTAAATAAAAATCAACGATTTCCGTGTAATATTTCGCCTTATTAGGCAACATTTATTAGTAGCATTATGGCACGCTAACTTGGAGAAGCACATCCATCTATATTTAGCATAATTGGCTTTAAGTTTTTTCATTTATGCCTTTCAATATTGTCGAGACATGCTTCATTTTCCAGAGGCGAATAGACTTATTTCGTAGCCTAGCCAAATAATTTAGGATAAAGCTCTTTCAACTGGATCGACTACGATTCTAACTTTGTTTTTTTATGGTCAGGGCCACAAGTGAGTTAGTTAGCCTATGTGTAGCATGCGCCAAAATGATCTGACAATATAGCATTTACTAATTTATTCGGCCTTGCTTCATCCCAATTTTGCAATTTTCATCACTACGCAGATGTCTCAAAAGATCCCTTTACTCGTTCATACCCACTGTCACTGCTCATCCACTAGTTTTTTTAATATTTTATATTTGTTTCTCTATCTTAAATATATATTTCTTCATGTTCCTTTAAAGTTAGCCTCCTGAGATATAATAATTCGCATCTTTAAAAGTATGTTCGCTAAATCTTCTCCCTTCTTTTTATTCATTATTTGATTACTATTCAGTCTTCCTCTACCTCCATGTGATTCTAGCGGCCATATTTTCGGCCAATCGAGATTTTTGCGTGCAAACAGTCCTCCTACTTCACGCCGAGCTTCTCTCCTCATGCTGCTCAGTAATGCCGGTGCCATCTCTCATGCCACATCGCACCCACTGGCCTCCAGCCCCCTCTTTTCCTCTATCAACACTTCCAGTATTCCAACAACCAGTCTCTCTCCGTCAACCTCCTCTACTACCTGCTCTTTTTCTACAGCAGCTTCAGCATCCACCTTCTCCTCTGGGGGACCCAGAGCTCCGGGAGCAGCAGTCCATCGGGCTAGTTTAGCTTCGGCTGCTGTAGACCAGGCCACACGTGCTGCTGAGGCTTCTCTCGCGGCTGCTTTGTTGGCGCGTGCTAAGACTCCACCTCGATATGCCTCACGAACCGTCATTAACGATACATATATGCGTCGATTGCTGGCCCGCGAAAATGTCGAAAAATACAAAAGGACTGCTAATGAAATATATCGTGCTCAATTGGCTAAGATAGCTGCCGCAAGCCGGGGTGATGAGACTCTCTGTAGCATTCAATTGCATAGCGAGGTGCAAGCTGACTCTGGGAGAGACCAGAGTCTTGGACATCCTCCAGAACTCTTAAGAGATGGTTGCGGGCATGAGATTGGTAAACAGGACCGTGAACAAAAGTACGAAGAGAGAGTAGTATTATGCCACGATGACACTATACGGCGCCAAACTGAAAGTACAGACCCTCCTTCAACACTACCGCTGTCAGTTTTGCCCTCGTCGCCATCATCATCGACTTCCGCTTCCTCATCCTCTGCCTCTTCTGATTCATCATTGCAGATGGTTGGAATTGAGACTCCTTCTACTACTTCCTCCATGATTTTGGGCCTAGATATGCCAACAGGCAAACTTCCAAAACGTCAGGAGATTAAAGGTAAGCCCAGATGATTCCAGAGTAGTTTTGTGGCTTGCTTTCCTCATTTAGGCGGATTAGTCGTCGCTCCAAAAGTATTTATACTCGGAGGAAACAGAGTAAGCCAGTTGTACCATTGGCGTAAAGAGACTCGGATTTGGCTGCCATCTTAAATACGACGGCTCGCTGACTTTTTCATACGTCACAACTGAAAAATTTGCGCTGGAATGTTTTGGATAGTTTTTAATTTGCATGTTCTGAAACGACCAGTAGATCTTGAACAAGAATTTAAGTCACCCTACTTCGCTTATGATGACGTAAGAACTGGGAGTAGGAATGAGAGCTCCATATTTACTGATAGTTTCGAAGCCTACTTAATATTAATGACGGTATGATTTCTAACTAGGAAGTCGGTAGGCCATACAACAACATTGAATTTCACTTAGCCCTGTCTCTTAAAAGGCTTTCTCATCTAATGTGGACTAAATTCCTAGCGTCGACTAGCTCCCATTAGCACCCCAACAGAATTCAAAAGTTTTAGTACCTATCATACAACAACTTTCTGTTCCGCCTTGCAGACCGAGTTCTAAATAAGTCACCGAGTGGATGTGAGTTTTAAGGCAAAATGGACCTCTCCTAGTTTACATTTGTTCCCGACTATTGCTGACAAGACAAATCTGTATTTTCAATTACAATCGGCGACATTGCTACATACCAAATAAGTAGGCTTCTTAACTGGAATTAATGACAAAATTGGTTTGTCCTCGTTTTTGCAGCTTAGTCATATTTTCAGAGTGACTTTTAAGGATGTACTCCGTACCCTTTATCTTGCCATTGTGTTATTTGTTCTTCAAGCACCTGCCTTGGTACATTCTTAAAAATTTCGCTGGAATTATAGTCAGCACCTTAATTGCCATCCTTAACTCTGAAACGACTAATCAAAGTGAAATTTGAAATCTACTTGACCATTTTCCTGTTTAATGGCTGGAACATTTATTCCCCCTATCCCCTAGCGCTTAATCCCTATCCTTCCTACTTCAAGTAACTAAGTCTTTTCTCCACCTCAATTTATATTTTCCTTAGTTTCGTTAAATTCCAGATGCGTTTTTCTTTGAATGGGTTTGTCGGGGCATAGTTACATTTTTCGTATATAAGCAGAGTTTCTAGATTGCCAGTAAATCAGTTATATGAGATGTATTCACCCTATTTCCTTTGATATGATGAAGGACTGATAGTAGAATTTCCCCACAATGATATAAGTGAAACTGACATTTCCATTGAATTTCACATAGCCTTGCTTCCCAAAAGTTGTTCTCATTCAGAGTGGACTGCAGTTTCGACTTCGCATAGGTGTTATCAAAACTCCCAGCGGGAGTCGAACCGTGACAGTGAAGCATGTGAGCTTGTACTTTAACCACTCAACCACATTGCCACGAGTGATCTTGGGTCACAGGGCAGACGTGAATTTCAAGGAAGGTCAGGCCTTTTCCCATATCGCATTCTTTGGTGGGATTGTCGATGAAGCAAGCGTATTTGTGCTATAAAAATCGACTGCATTACTTATTATTCGTATATAAGCAGAGTTTCGAGACTACCAGCAAATCATTTATATGAGACGTATTCATCTTATTTCGTTTAAGGTGATGTCAGCTCTACTCATATCATTTTTAAGAAAGTCTACTACCAGTTCTTCACACCTTAGACGAAATAGGATGAATACATTTCATAGTTGCATTTATCTCTGCTGGGATTCTTAATCTCAATAGGCACCTGCACCCGTCACTTCACTCTACCTAGCTTCTATCAGCTTGTATCTTCATATCTTCGTATCTAAATGGATAGTTACGTCCACCCGGTCTTAGGCACTATGTATCTGGAAAGTTATTTTTATTACCTGTCCTAAATGTATAATAACATTTGCACACTAGCCTCAGTGAAGTTCACAAATCGGCTGTTCTTATTTTGATCGAAGATACGAGGTCCGATATGGTGGCGCCTTAGGTTTGTTCTCAGTCTTCTTTAGTTGTGTAGTGATGGTTTGATCTGGTTTTCCCAATTTGGTCGGAGAAAAGGGAGGCCTTGTGGAGTGTACGCAGTCATTCGTCCTCGGTCATCGTATTAATCACGATTTCCTTCACTAGGCCGCTGATCTGACACATTCCTAGACGTTACGCTAGTATCGTAGTCGGCATCATTAATAAGACACAACTTATCATAGTTATAAGTAGGGGAAATCATCTTAACCATTTTTTCTGTGAAACCGTTCTAATAACTCCTCTATACCCATTGCTTTTAACGCTGTATCCTCACTCTCAACCCCAGTTAAATTGGCCAAAATACCCATCTATTCCTCTCCGTATCTTGTTTGTTTCAATGTCTCCATGCCTCTGCCATTCCAATTGGTTTTAGTAAAGCGTACTCACCCTAATCACCGTTTTAAGCTGCCATCTTTAAGACTTCTGTATTCCAATAACTACTTTTACTTAGCTATCTATTCCGTCAAACTTGTCAGCTGTTCCATACTGTTTTTGAAAATCATTGTCTTATCTAACTGGCTTTCTATAGCCCCTTGATTCGCTCTCCCCATTTCTTTCATATTAGAGAATCTATTCACATGACTGGCCCCAAAATATAATATAATGTGTGATAGCTTTAACCAGGTCTGCTCTCAAACTGTGATTCTCACTTGCAACCATTTTAAGTCCCCTAGGCTCCATAAACCCCACGTCCCAGTTATACTTTCCCCCACCATCCCGATTTTTTACATTCTCTGGGACCCTGTGTCTTGCTTCAGTTGGAACCTATGTTGTGGAGAAACACCGCTTAGATTTAGTAAAACATTCGTCTTTTTATCTCACCTAATCCTGATGTTCCATTCAATTCGACAGGTGTATTTTGGTTAGTAAATGCCCATGCCAGGCATGTAATGAACCACATCTTATCACATACACATGCAGATAGCCCAGCTACTGGGATTGACGCAGTCAACTAGACATCTTCTCCCATTTCTGGTAAAAACGGGCTGAGTCTCGTCCATTATATGATTAAAATCATCAGAACTGGAATGCATTCATGTAAAAGTCTCACGTTAACACTAGGTCAAGAAGACTATCCGGCTCTATCTTACCTCCTATTTATGCTTATAGCTAAACACCGAAACTGTGTAAACATAGATACATATAGAATGGTTTGGCTAATTATCTTTTATATTAGTCGTGCTACTTTTGCTCGTGTCACTGTGTGTGTGTGCTAACCTATATACTCAATGCCGGTCCTAAATCAGACTGAAGATCCAAGGTAAACGCTTGGCTGAGACTGCGTACATCCGTAAGCAACTGTGGTCGAGCTAATGAGATGTAGGCTGATAAGCTTGTAA